AAGCGCAAGCTTTTCCTTCATGGTGTTCTTTGAAGTTAGAATATTTTGACGTGCAATGGTTCGAGAATCGTTTACTTCCACTATAGAAACAATAGAAAACAATGGCCATGTAAGGACAATATTGAAAGAAACAAAATAAAGCATTATGAACTGAATAAATACTGCCACAAATATTTCTACCTTGAGTGCTTCCCTGAGTCTTCTCCGGTTCTCTTTCGGACTATTCTCAATCCAATGTATGTGTCTTTTCTGGGAAGGAGAAATCCTCAAATTAAGAATTATACCAGGTTGATCGTATCTTCGTTGGGGTGGATACACCCACTTGTGTCAGAAGTAAAAATCTGTAGGAATCCACGACTGCCATTTCATATGCAAAAGATAGTGAATCCTTCAATACCATTCTGTAGTGCGATGCGTAACTGGGGAATAATCCGACAACAAATCCATTTAGTTTTCTTGTACCCTTCAACGGCCATGGGATTTTTCGATGAATTTGCTTTGCCCCCATGCATAGTTAATTTCAACTGCGTTTCTTCCTTATCCTCTCCCTTTAACCAGGAAACCCTCCATGCTTCGCATGAAATACACCTGTCTTCGTTCCTCTGAAAGGTAGTGATATTCCGAGACGACGACTTCTCGTAGTGGCGACTAAAATTGTTCATCATTTCAAATCTTTCGGCGAACTCAATCGGATTGAATCAGTTATCATAACAGTGTCATTAATCGATCATCAAAAGATTAAAAAAATAAACTCATCCCTTGTGCTTAGACAAAGTGCTAGAGTATTTTGTTGAGGTCTGGTTCCATAGGCTCTAGAAGTTTAGGGATGATTCCGAGAGAAATTTCCCACGTTCTGTGGAACACAACGAGGTGAGAATTAGGTTGTTCCTAGGACCGCATGGTCCCCCGGCGGGCACAGCGGAACCCGCTCGGGAAGTTGTAGACAGTACTCTACTTCTAAGATCATCGGGAGACACGTTCGAAGTGCGCGATAAGAAATGGGTCAAAAGGCCCTGCATGTCGCCGTTGGTGCGTACTCAAAGTGTCTCCGAGCTGTGATCAGAAGACCTTATAAGAAGTGAATAGTATACATTCGTTTTGTTGATGCGATGCATAGTATAACGTTGCCACAAAAGTTCGTGCGCATTGAGTTGAAACGGCTACGCTCTCTGATCGATGATCATAGAAGAATAGTACTGTCTATAAGTTCTTTCACGCTCCCGCCGAACGAGCTGATTGGACATCGTCATCAGTAAAGATGAGGGAAGTTGTATTTACATGAATTCTAGACAGAAGCATTAGCGGCTGGATCTATCAGAAAGAGCTGAACCAGCTGCGAGATCAGGAATCTCCAGTTAGATGATTGTACTGTCCGTCTAGTAGAATGTCGATGAGTATCTCACGTCACAGGAAGCTTCTTCCTTCCATATCTATTGTGACGGGCGAGGTCTATTGTAGACAGGTTCGACTTCGAACTTGTAGGGAAATGTTCTGCTGACTTCTTCGAAACCCGACGAAATATGCTTGTTCCACAATGCTAGACCGCCCGCATGTCCTGGAGACCATACAGCTCAAGATTTTAAGGCTCGGCTTGGAAATTCTACCGCGCTATCTATGTCACCCTGATCTAGCCCTTTTCTACTACCAAGTACTTCTGTCACGAATTTCTGAGGTTGGCCTAGGCGAATATCAATCCGGGGTGCGAACCCGTGACCATGCTCGTGTGATCCGCGCCACTTGATCCCCCCCCCCCTTCCATCAGACAGGTCTGGTATCTATTAATCTATACCGGAGAGATGGAAGGCTTGGTAACAACCAATTTCTGAGGCAATTTAGTAAATACTCCAATGAAGTCCACGCCGAAGAAAATTGAAGTTTACAATCTGGTGCTTTGCCTGATGCGCCCTGCAATATGGTTATGTTCGCTTATAATTTTCCTATAACAAAGCTGTTATGCTTGGGAACACTGAAACGAATGTTATTTTAATGACACAAGCTTTTTGACACGCCAAGTGCTGTGGCCTTGAGTGGTCGAGAAGAGCAAGAAAATCTAATGGAAGCAACGAATTAATGTTACAAAAAAATAGAAATTATTCACTGCTTCAGCGCTTCAAGTCTATTGGTCAAACCGGGCAGATCAGTTCTATACGTGATGAACTATTCTACTGATACGAGGTCACGGAGGTCCCAATACCAAGTTTGCAGTGGCTGACAGAAGGGATTTCTGCAGCGAAATCTGTTACACCCGTAGAGAAGTTCGAAACTAATAACTAATTATGATGGTGTGCGAGCTCTCGAGCAGTTACAAGATGGTAGAAATCTATACTAACAGTAAGTATCGTGATTGATCCCATAAATACAAAGTAAATGATGAAGTCTAACAGGATAGAGCTTCTGGCGTTTTTCAGCCCTGTCCCTGGAATGCTCCATGGCGTTCGGCTCCCATTCAGAATGGTATTTGTCCTATACGATGACTTTGGCGCCGGATGATGTACAAGATAATGCTTTCATCCTCCCTGACAAGTATGGCACCAATCAGGCGGCGCAGGAGGTGATGCAACGGTTGTTGACTTAGGCGGATACCCATCCGGGAATCGGTTTTCTAGTGTGTCATGGAGCGTCACTACCCACGCACACCGACACTTCTCCTTTCACTGACATACGCGGACATACGCACCGACACACACATCAACACACACGCGCCTACACACATACACACATACACATACCATGCACATGTACCTCTACATACACATACAAATACACATACACGGACACATACACATTCACATACACATACACATGCACATATAAATCTACATACACATACAAATACACATACACATACACATACATATACACGTATACATCTACATACACAGGCACAGACACATACGCATACACACATATGTACACATACACATGCACATCTACATACACATACACATACACACCCTCACAGGAGAATCAACTTAGCGCGTTATGTACAGTAAGACTTTTCAGTTTCCATCGTTTCTGCCCTCATTTCTATATTCTGCTTTCACCACACATACAAACAACTACACTGCAGAGGCTTCAACACACCAACAGGCGCAGTTGGCAAATAATGAATAATGTAGGACAATCTCCTACAGCATAATAACAGAAGAAGTACGACTGGCTGAGCTGAGACACCAACAAGCACAGTTGGCCAGTAATGAATAATGTAGGACAGTCTCCTGAGCTTCATATCAATAGAAGCACGGCTGGCAGAGTTTTACTCTGGCCTGATTTCATGTTGAACAACTTTTTGAACCAGGAAAGAACCACATTCATTATGAAAGTAAGAAAATAATTTCTTCATGAAGAAGTGGAATTTGGACCCTATAATTGTTAAGGAATTCGTTCACATTCCTATCGCACTGTGTGTCGATGACTAGGACATTATTTTCATTGGCATTCAAATTAAACTCGTTCATGAAACCCAGTCGCCACCATGGCAGCCAACCCCTCCCGGAGCTCCTTCTTATGTCCTCTCTGTCGAATACTTTGTTAGAAAAAAATGAGAATTGAAATCATTCTCAAGTAGACTTTTATCACTTACCTTTGACAGTTGATTTTCAATGTGAACTGGATTCTCCCTGAATACTTGGGAGCCCCTCCTCGTTTGATCTCATCAGCTGGATTTAGGAGGCAATAACATCAGACAAGTGCCCTCTTCGTGCAGTGTTTTTCGTTATACCAATCAATAAAAGGCGTTTCCAGACGCATTCGTTCCTTGTTATTCCCCATAAGCTAAGGAAGCGGTAAACAAAGAGCGCAAGTTGTTGCTTTGCTTGACGAGACTGAGCTCGGTTTCGGGAACACCTTCCACTTGATGCATCGCGTTCGAATTTCGACGTTAGTTTTGGGACTGTATCTACTAGGAAAGTCATTTTAGACTCACTTGACTTCTACAGTGCGATACCACCACGAACCATTTCATTCTTATCTAAGCATTGGTTTGGCTGTGAAAAAGGTTCACAATGGCAGCGAGTTGTTCTAGCTTGGGCTTGCTCTCGTTCCCTTGGACTGAAGTGACGAACTTTATGCCACGTCAAAATTCATCCGCTATCAATGTAATAAGTGGTGTCTTATTCAAAAGCGAGCTTAAGACCAGAATACAAGATGAAGCCCAACTTTGAAAGGACCGATCAGAAACGACCTTAAAGGCCTGCGCTACGGTACATTCATTTTTAAGTGCTTTGTCGGAGTAGGTGGTGTCGTAGCAAGTGGCGTTTTATCCCAAACTCATAGTCCGGTGATCGGATCCTGGATCAATGTTTGCCGAATCCAACTGAGCTATGCCTTTGGGGTTTTGGTACAAGGCTCGTCTAGGGGGATAAATGCACTGACTTGTACATAGGCTGTGCGCTTCTACTCAATGTATAGGCCACATACGCTGCTACGATTCCGAATAGAAACCGAGTGGGAGGACGCATCATAAAGATTCGATTGACGCCAAAAACTTCGTTTTTGACCCTTTTATGCTGATCCAATATTGCTACAAAGGTTACATGCATATCTCTCCCGCTCCTTTTCTTCAGTCCGAAGCCACGGTCAGGGAGATTCTAGCGATATGACCTATCGTATTAAGTGATGATGTTTTTGGTGTTCACTATCTGCTCTTGTGAGCCGCAAGAAGGTGGTAGGTTCAGTCCATGAAAGGGATACGGAGAGGTGCATTGAAGAAAAGAGAGAAACAACCCTGTAGCCTGGATGCCTTTTGAAAAAATCCTAGCTGTTTGGGAGGAAAGAGTTTCAGGATTTGTGGTGAGATCACCAAGGGTTTTGAACGGAACCTCAGGGACATTTGTTAAAAATAAATGTTGTTCTTGTATGTTCCTACGGTCTCTGATAGTGTTCTCAATTTACAGATAACCTTACTACCGAACAACGTACCGGCCTGGTAACTAACGAAGACGTGGCCTCAAAAATGAAATGCAAAATACCTGGATTTCGATACATCGTAAGCTCTAGGGTCTTCGTTTTGCCAAATCCACTGGTATAACCTGAATTTTCAGATCCTCATCGTTTCTGCCCTCTGTCTTACATCACTGCTTTCGAATATGACTACTTACAACTTCACAAAAATCTGTATGGTGCCTAAAAATGACTCACATAACGTTGTGGAACCAGGTGGGTATCTAAGCCAGCTAGTTTGTGGTTGAATTGTGTATGGTATCGGTTCAGGACAATACAACAAAAATCAACAAGCATGGCTCCAAGCTTGTGTAGCCATTGGTGCTCTGGTAGCTTCATTTCCATACACCTATATGTTCCAGCACTACACGAAGAAATGGGTATTTCTGTCAGCGGGTATAATTTCAGCAGGTACTGCTCATATGTTGATCAAACTGAACAGAACTTCAGACTTTATGAAAGGAACTGCACGATACTGTGTGTACGTGGGAGACGGGCAGTAGGGAGGGTTTTGTGTAATCGATCCGCCGCACGCGGCTGTCGCGGACCGTTTGCCTCATTATTACAGTTCAAGCGCTATTCATACGGCTCAATCGCTATGCGATTATTACTTTTGGCAGATTCTACTAATAGTTCTTTGGTTCCTGTGTCTAATATATCCCTTCGCGCGCGACTTCTCTCTCGCCGCGACGCGTCAGTTTCGTTCCTACTGCACCACACCCTATGTACGTTGCATGCCAAGTATGTTTCCCCCTTCACACTGTTTCCCCAAGGAACACAAACCGAGTAAAAATTTCGCCGTTATGGAACAAGTAAACAAGTAGGTAATAGTGCGAGAAGGTAAAGGTGGAGTCGCTAGTACTTGAGTAGATCCTCTTATAGTAGGTGAAGCAATGAGTTGAACGACAAACACAGCCGAACTGTCAAGAAACTACAGCTTACGATTACTTTTCGGCTCTGTCTGTGTGACAGAGAATCCTAGACCACCTATGGCCGAGACTAGGCTTGGCCTGACTTACCATTGCGTTAACAAATTTACGTAGCGAATTGTTAATAAATCACCACGCCCTTTTCTATTCCGAGCTCAGCATTTTTCGGGGCGTTTCCTGGAAGAAGCTGGGAAATTACTTGTGTTCGTCTTCTGCGGTCGGTCATGTCCTTATAGAAGCGTCGATCTGCAACTTTGGTACCAATCGCTCCCCCATTTTCACTAGGCATTTGTCTTTTCACATTGAAGGATATAAGTAATTTGATTCGTTGCGATAGAGTGTTGCATTAATCTTATCTCTAATTTCGTTTTTTTTCTTCGAACCGAATACATTGTCATTCAGTGTCAACCGCACTCGTGCCACTAGCCCACATCTATGGTTTCAAGTTTTTCCTGCTAGCCAGAACGTTCCAGGTGAGTACCTTGTTTCATTGTATAGATATCACGACCCCCAGTAGTTACGTGACTACTTGAACTTTCACTGCGTACCTAACCGCGAAAGGTTACAGCGCAGAGAAAAATACTCTGGTTGAAGGGCACGGGGTTGGTGGTTNNNNCCCCCCCCCCCCCCCCCCCCCCCCCCTGTTCTTCCATCAAGCTCAAATCGTATGCCTAATTGACAATACGACTTATTTCAAAAAAAATTTTTACAACCCTCCCTTCCAGCTGACTGGTCATTTCTGCGGTGCGGCAATCTCATTCAAATTTCAATTTCCATTCCAAGAAGCTACTCTAGAAGAGCGAGTGGAGTGGACTCCCCTCCCCCCACTTCCTCCCCTACTTTTGTTTGTTACATTGAAATTTTGAAATTGGGAAGTTGTTGTGTCGAAAGTGGTGACAAGCGGCGACCTAGGAAGCCGCGTTTACCGATATTATTTACTCAGCGTGAAGCTACAAATGCGATCCAGGTAGAAAAGGTACATAAATCAGAACGGTACTCACGTACTTGGAAGTGAACCGGAACCTTCGAATTCTGTTTTGACCTTCCTGAACCTTGCAGCTACCACTCAAACGTAGTCATCGTGTCTGTAAATGGGGCGGTGAGTGCACAGGCTTAGAGCGAGGTCCTATGATTGAGCGACTTCACAGCTATGCTTCACAGCTTTCGAATTCCCTGTTGTTTTTTGGTGTTTGCATCGCTCTTGCAGGAGTTCCATGTTGAAGAACTTTTTTGTGGAATTCTGAATCTTTTCAACCTTGCTCTCTCTATCAGATTAAAGAGACAGCCTTCAGTAGGAATAGTATCAATACTTGCCTTTAGGGTTCTACAGATCCTTTCCATCCCTAATTAAGATGACCAGTCTCACACCCTTTCTTGTTCAGAAGCTTGTTCCTTCTTCAGACTGTTTTCACTGAATGAGCCTAAGATGCCCAAATTCAGGGCGTTGCTTTCTCGGCCACTTTTCCGATTATCGGGGCAGTTACAGCCGACTGGGCGGTTTTGACGGAACACGGCTTATTCGTAGGCTTGCTCACAGGATGCACTCAACTTAGCAATATTTTCACTATGCCAGTATCTGGTGGGTTAAGCGCTGTTTCTTCGCAAAATTAGAGCGAATAAACTTTAACGGCACATCTTTTTGCAGGCGCTCTCTGCTCGTCGAGCTGGGGCTGGCCATCTGTGTACTACGTCCATGCTGGAGTGTCCGTAGTAGCGTTCATCTTGTGGTCGCTCATATACAAGGACGACCCAGAGGATCACTCCATGGTTGATGTTGGAGAATTGAAAAAACTTCAGCGCGGAAAACTAACGAAAGTCAGTTCTTGATTCCTTGTCTGAGCCTGCTCATAAAGTCTAGTTGTTACTACAACCATAGCCGTAGTCCTTCACTGTTATACATTTATAGAAGGATCACCACACCGGCAGTATTCCATATCGTTCAATTTTGTCGTCCAAAACACTTTGGGGTGCTTGGATAGCAGCTTTCGGCGATTTATTGGCTGTACAGGTGAGAGCAGCCATGCTTGATCAATTTCTGGATAAAAAANAAAAAAGCTTTTCTCTGCTTCACAAAAAAAATTGACAAAAAAAATTTCAAAAAACAAAAAAAGTGACCTTTTTGTAGAATCCTTCTCTTCTAAAAATATTTGTAACTTCAGTTGGTGGCCATGTTCAATCCGCAATATCTGAACGACTATCTCCACTACAATGTACTGAAAACGGGTAAGTGAAGATCATAACTGAGATGGACTGTCAAAGAGTCGCTACCAAGTTCTTTTCAGGTTTCCTTGGGGCACTTCCCGTTCTAGTTCAATTCATTCTTAAGTTGCTGGGAGGAGTCTCAAGTGATATGTTGAAGTAAGAGTACAACTTTTGACGATCCTTGAATTCCATTTATAAGTATTCATTTTACCAGATGCTTCGATGAAACCACTAAGCTACGTGCGTACAATTCGTTTGCCCTTGGCGGCTCAGCCATTTTCTTTGCGATATTGGCTTTCGTCCCTCGGGAACAACGCGTCACTGCCATTGTTGTTCTTGTAAGTAGAGCAATTTTCATTTAAGATTTCGAAGACCAAAACAACCAGGTATTTACTTCATTAAGGTTTTCGCGGAGAGCTTACTTGGATTGAATACGGCTGGATTCAACAAGTGCGCTACACTGCACTCTCGACAGTATGGACACTTTGTGATGACCCAGGTGCGTCTGAGAAATCTGGCTTTGCTCAAATGTCCCCCTTTTACATAGATTCACAACCTTGAGTAATTGAAAGCATCGTCTCCAAAATGAGGAATACTTGGTTTTGACTGTATGTGACATTGACGTCGTCTGTTAGATGAATACGGTCCATATTCTTGGTCTAGTAACTTATTTTCTGGTAAACTCTGTTTACAAATCGGCTGCTTATAGCGAAGTTGGCTCTTTCCAGTACCACTCGCGGGTGAGTGTTCCACTTTAAATCGAGGTATGTAAGAGGAAGCATCGATGAGTTCCAGAGGATTTATGAAACCAATAGAGGGATGTGCTCTGCATTTTTTACCCGTGGCCCCCTACATTTAATGTATCAATGCAGAATGTCTATCCTACAAGGGTCTCCTATATCAATTCTTATATCCCAACTTTGCCCGCCAAACTCTACCGTACGGTGCTCTGAAATTTCAGAAAATCCTTTTTCGGAGATTAGGAGCACAGATGCCTCCAGATATGTACAATCCTTCATGACTTCTGTACTGTTGAGGTACATTCGAGGTCCAATGAAATTCTTGCAATGACTATTGCTGAAGCAGTTCAGTAGATCGGTTAAAATAGCGGTCGGTTGTGGTGTTGACATACTCTCATTTAAACCCGTCCATTACTGGACGTGGTGGAATAGATATCATATAAATCAGTTCTAATTGTATGCTGTTTTCCCAACAGCTTAGCCGTGTGGTTAAGAAAATAGGCCTCAAAACGTCTCCACTCAGGCAAGCCATGAAGTTCGATCCTGTCGAGGCCACAACCTTGCTTTGGAGGTCTGCGAAAACGGTAACGGTATCAACGTCAAACCTACATTGACATGCCGGCTGATGGAGGAACACAGTCAAAACAAACATATACCAAGTCTCCAAAGAACTCAGTGATAAGGCTAGGAAGTCACCCGAAAGTAGCGCGATGAACCCCACGCAAGTTCGACCTCACTCGAAGAATTCTATTAAAATTGGGGAAGTGAACGGCGCATGGCTCACTGGGAAATCCCGAGAAATTGCTGATCTTATGAAGCAGAAAAATATCAAAATTATGTCCCTTCAGAAGATACGTGGGAAAAGAGCAAAGACAAGGATGTCGAGGGAGGTGTGAAGCTCTACTAGAACGTAGAAGGCGCCAAACAACGAAAACAAAGGGAATTGTGTGGCTATAGCAGTAGGTTACCCCCTTGAAGACTCTGTATCCGCTCTCAACATGATCGATGGCCGAATCGTCTGTAAGATTATACACGAAAGAGAGTGGTGGACTATGATAAACATGTGAATACATTTCATAAACCGGCTGACCAAAGTGCAAAGAGCACGGCCGATGCCATAGGATCAGTTCTAGAAAAGGGCTATCCTACCTTAACGCGAGACTGAGATTGACCTTAGCCACGTCTGGTAGGTGATCTAAATATCTAAATCAAAAAGGAGAGGATCACCGCTCTAGCAGTTGGCAGCATCGCCTTCCAGCGAAGGAAGACTCAATAAACCTACAGCGGTGGTGGGAGACGAACAGACGTTGATCATGTGCTCGTTAGGAGACCGTTCTTGGGAATTTGAGGATATCAAAGTATCAACTAGGGGAAATTTGGCTCTGCAGTGGCTTCTCCTAACTTCAATTTAGCTGCATTGAGGGTAAATGGAGTTTTTTCGCTTTTTCTAAAAAATTAAGTTAGGCAGTGTACGTCGGATGTGACAGAATGCTTCCAAATCCGTGTTACAAAGGGATGGTATTGAAAGAAAAACATGTGTGTGATTTCCAGATTATGAACATATGGGCGGTGACAATCCTGCTCGAACCGTTTGTGGTGAACTCGATCGTAGCAGCTAACAAGTAAGTGAATCTTTGTCATCCATCGCCACTTGTTATCCTTCCTAGCTTGGACATATTGTCACCGTCTAAGCGTGAAAAACTGGTAGTACTGTACCATATAGAAGCATAATGCCGTCTTTTCCCCATACTTCCCATCATTGCGTCATTCTCTTCTCTTTCTTATCATTTAGTTCTTTTTGGGAACCACAAAGCAAGCCAACAGCATGGATGGAAGACTTCCAGGAATTTTTTCTTTGATTTCTTTAAAACTATGAGTGAGCTGAGTAAACTTGGATGTGACCATTTCCAACTTTTGGTTTCTCAGTTGTGTTTGGGTAGCCACAACCAAGGCAACATATGTTAACTTAAATAAGACTACATTTTGTCAACTTTGCCCTACCTTTTAGCGAACGATACTCGAAATTCACTATCAAATGTAATTTGAGCCTTAGAAATTTTCGTACAAGCTCAGGACAATCATCCCATGATCGGCGTCGAAACTGTATTTATCTGAGATTGAAGTCATTCGGAAGATAGGGGAATGGAGAGGCGGGTAGCTATGTAATCTTGTTTCTGCGTGGTTCACACTCCATAAGCATGTTGGACGGGAGTAAAGAAGTAGTTATATAGTCATGTTATTCGGTTCTCGAGAAGAATTTCAGACCTGTTTGCAGAATATTACGAATTCAAAGTCGATCTCCTTTCAATTTCAGTTTTGAAAGCTGGCGTAACTGCTTCCTGTTCCATGCCATCGCCCTTCTGGTCTGTAACGCTATATTCTGCATATGGGCTGATGCCAAGCCTGCGCCATGGACGCAAGTTCCCGAGCAAAGCAATGGTGATACACATGACTCTGCAGTGCCTGAAAACGGTGGCAACAACACAGTTAGAAGTGCACATTAGCAACACTCGCCCTTGATTGGTCACTCCATTTGGAATACGATCAACCGTTAGACTGAGAGCAGTTCCGCTAGTAGTTACTTGGTGGTAAGACGTATCTATGGGATATCGAGTGCATTTGAACTTTGCCTTCACCTTTAAAAATAAGTACGGTTTCTATGCGAGCTAATATTGCTAATATGATACCAACACTCATAAGGGCTCTGAAAAGTACTCACCCTGTATTTCCGCCAATCCTCTTGTCATAGTCGATGTTATTTCCGATCAGATTTGTCATATTCTATATTCCGAATACTGCTATGTCGCTTACTTGTAAAATGAGTTTTCAAATTAGTGTGTTAAATGGAATAAATATTATCCTGTATCGCTTTCACGATCAAAATATGACTCCAGTTGGTCATGGCACGGCATGAGTCAATCTAGAATCTTTTATGAAAACTATATTATTCAGTATATGGAAGAAGAAAGGATGGGTGCTCTGCATGATTGTAAATTAAAGCAAGAAATGTATTGCTGGGAAGCCTGGTGGAAGGGTACATGTTATGGTTTGGAATCCAGTTTAGAAAAAAAAAACAATAGCTGAAATTGTGGATCGAGATAGTGGGGATGCATGTTATGACGGAGTTTCTACCCTGATATTCCAATGGGACATTTTAATAGTGCAGAAGCACATACAGTTGCTATAAGCTTGCGCCTGGTAGGGCGCGCAGGGGTCCCGGCGCGAATAGGGTATCGGCGCCTGCGCGTCGGCTTCATTTAACGTGTTCTCTGGCCTAAAACTATCCGGCAGTGTGTCTGCATGTCGTCGTCGTATCCTGCCGCCACTGCCCGTCGTCCTGCCGACGATGGAGACACGATGCAGTCCGACCGAATGCGTAGTGTCCGACTCGGGCATGGAAGCCCGAAGGCGGTGCGGTCCTAAGCCTCGACACCTCCCGTGAGCCATTGCGTACTGGGTTCGAGCCTCCTGATACGTAGATTTACTGGTTATCATCGTGGCTCTTATTCATTTAGTATTTAATATTTTCTCTTCATGTATATACATATGTGTGTATGGTGTGCCTTTTTTTTATCATTTCGTATTCGTATTCTTCTTATTAGCGTCCCCATGAAGGACTGCGAATATCGTGTAATATCGTGGACGGTTTACGCCACGCCGTGGAAGGTTAGATATATCTGGTTTGATTAATTTGAATGGGCTGTGCGTAGGCTGCTCCGTGTTGTAGAACGTAGCACGAGTGGGGCGATGGTTGGGGTGTAGGATCACCGTAGGGGCTGCAAGGGCCGAAGCAACATCCCGCGTGACCAGGGCAAGAAAGAGCGCCGTGTAAGACCCGATCGTTCATTCACGCCGACAGTGACGCCACTCCTAAGCGCCGCGATACCCGATGCACGCCTATAGCGAGGAGCAGGGTGTCACCTTCTCAACGGAAAGCGATAAGTCCTTCGTGGTGTTTTTTGTAGGAATTTTCTGCCACTCGTGACGAAGTAGCCGTCTTTCGAAGTTGCACTGATATCGCCAAGGCTCACTTAGAGTATCTGAACGAAGCGCGTCTTTCTCACACTCTTGTGTGACTTACGACGCGTACACGGATGTTTCTGGAGGTACGTCTCCTTTGTATCTAACTCTATCTATCTTCCTCACAGATATGATTCTATATTTTGTGGTGTTAGCAGTGTCATTAAAGGAATGACCAAGCCACTTCATTCAATGTCGTTCCGGTGTTGTAGTGCTTGAGAGCTTAATACAACAATGCTACTAATCCATGGTCAACCGACGGTTTGCGAGGGATTAATCCGTTTGCGACAGATCGATCCGTCGCATCATAATATCAGCTGGAAGCTCTACTTGTAATTCTTATTATTAATTTCCGGTATTCTCGAATTTATTGTTTTCATTTCCACGAACAATAAAATGTGAGTCTCTCCGCGCCTGGGGTTTTACTTGCGGATACGCCAGCATCGTAAACCCTCCAATCCAGTTGAAAACTTCGTTCTCAGTTTCTGAAATCCACGAATAGCAATAGATTCGAGGAGAGCATAAAGTCCCGATCATTTTGATATCTCTCTGGCATAATTTGACATTTTTAGTTGCAATCAGTGAATCGATTAACCAGATTTTCAGACATTCACTGCTTCTTCTCAGTCATCTATTTGGATGGAATATCTATGAATGGCCCTGCTCATGGAGAATGCAGTTGTACAGTAATTTTTCGATTTTCTTCAATTTCGCAGCTTCACTGTAAGGAAAATGAAAGAATGACTCTTCNCGAGGTGTTGTCCTTTCCAGGTCTAGCACTATGCGTTAGAGACGCAGGACACAGTGGAGTGGCCAACGCAAACTACATTTTGTAAGCTTCAGGCTGCTGTGAGACGACGTTCATGGCTCATTTGACTACTTCAGGGCGGAGCGAGGAAGATGAAAGCTGTCGGGGAGTCGACACACAGCTCTGACCGGATACAGTCCCCTTTTGTATCGTCATCGCTCATCTCGGGGCGACGAATGATCTGTTTACCTTCCTATAGTCCATTTGTGCTTTATAGGTTAGTGAGGTCTAACATAAGCGTACTTAAGTTATGTGGATGTGCCAGGTCTACCAGCGGTGGATTGGAGAAGGGTGGCGGTTCATAATCGAGAGACTAGGCTTCGGGTTTTGTGGGGGGCGAGAGTTTTGCATTGTATTGAATTTTTTCTTTGAGGCCGAGAAATTCCTTTAATGTTGATTTTCTCATGTTCTACGAAATTTGGAAATTGTGGTGACAATGCTCTCNCCCAAACCATGCAATATGCTTTGATTTTTTCATGTATGTTCACGTTGTGTATATTCACAGGGGGCGAATGTGGTGTAGTAGCAGGGGCGCACCATTACATACGGATGGTCGGTACATGTGACTCCGTTTGGGCCAAACAGCCCTCCATCCCTCCGGGGTCGGTTGATTGGTACTAGACTCGTCTAGGTCAACGAACGAACTTGACTCGTACTTTGGATGGTCACCTTTGGATGGCCATTGCAAAGACCTCATACGCTATCTATACGCCACTGTTCGTGATTGAGTGCGGGATGCATCCCAAGGGCAGAATCAATTAACACCAAAGACTTGTTTCTGTCAATCCTCTGTATTCACGATGAAATTCGGACCGATGTGCACACTTCACAACCTTTGGCCTGGAGGAATCGCAGGAAAACGGTCCAAGTAATGCGGCTGCTATCTGCAACACCCACTTTTTCGTCACTATGTCTTGCCTTTTCATTGATGGCCTGTAGATCAAAAGTGTTTCGTGGTTTCGACGTTTGTATAATCGTACGTGGCGGCTCCGAACACTCACCTTCACAGAAGATGGTGAAGGTAATGAACAGCTGTACCGCGGGACCAATGTTAGCTCATTTCTTGGCCGTTCGAAAATATGATCACACTTCATACACAATGGCTC